ACACAGGCACTCTTGTCTCAGAACATCCAAGAAATAAATACACCAAATGGAATAATGTATTATTATCGGTATTCACATTTCCCACCCTCACAGTTCCCTGTTCACTTTGCCAAGGCAGATCAAATTTAAGTTTTGGTAACTACATTGCAAATTCCTCCTACATTTTCAACTGCATTTGTTATTCCTCATTCACTGTCATATGCTTTTGTGTAAGATAGCTGTATTTTATTAAATAACTCCTACATTTCACCCCGGGTAACTTCACTCTAATTGTAGATAGACTGATTGCTCTGCTTTAAAAAATGCATGGGGTGACAAATAACACTGTGAATAATACGATACATAGTGCTTGCAAGCACAGACAGCGTATGTAGGCATGTTTAAAGCATATAGGAGTAATATTTAAACATGTGTATTTGACTTAGGATACAAATCTCTTTCACTCATATCACACAATTATTTTGAACATCCTGACCTTGTGCAGAATGTAGAATTTTCTGAATTCCCATAATTTAGTCCATCTGGTTATAAACCCAAGTGTGATTGTTGAACCTAACTGTGATTGTTAAACCTGAACTGCCTGCTCGTCTTTCAGTGGGCCCTAACGTTGTTCTCTTACTTTGAAGATACAAAGTAAGAGCATGTTACAGATATACACTCCAAAACTTCAGTTTTCCCCCACTTTTCAAACTGCCTTGGAGTCTTTCAGGGGACACCACTGTGCTATCCCCAGATAGGTGGCACTTCATTCCTTACCTCTGTTTTCTCAGACCAGAATAGTTTTACTGGTGTGAAACAGATAATGAGGTTTGTAGGGGAAAGAGTGAGGTAGCGATCATTCCACAGATGCTGGGGTGCAGCCATGTGATGATGTTACTGCCACATATTCACAGTACAGAATACAGCCAAAGTATGAAGATCAAGTATAATACAACCCAAGCGAAGATGCAGTAAAGCAAATACAGGGATGGAAGTAGCTGGAGGGGAAAGGTGCCATAATACCCATATCCTATTGACTACATTTGAAGTTAAGTGAGAAAACTCAATTAACTTGGACGGTATTACCCCAAGGGTTTAAAAACAGTCCAACGATTGTTGGAAATCAGTTAGCACAAGAACTAGAATCATGGAAGCCTCCCACTCAGATGAGGACTCTGTTGCAGTACGTGGATGACCTTTTAATTGCCACAGAAGCAAAGGAAGAATGTGTCCAGTGGATGGTGGGATTACTGAATTTCCTGGGACTGAATGGTTATCGGGTATCCAAACAAAAGGCCCAACTAATTCAAACCTGTCTCCTACTTAGGTTATAAAGTAACAGGAGGACAGAGAGAACTTGGAATCGCTAGAAGTCATTTGCCAAACTCCACAACCGTTGACCATCAAGGAGCTCCAGGCATTCCTGGGAATGACTGTATGGCGCAGACTTTAGATCCATGAGTATGGTGTTCTGGTAAGACTGTTATAAGGAAACCCTCCCTCTTTGGAATGGACTGATTCAGCAGAGGGGGCTTTTAGAAACTCAAAACCAGAGCTAATGAGACCTCCAGCTCTGGGACTTCCAGATGTAAACAAACCCTTTTGGCTATATTCTGATGAAAACCAGGGAATAGCTCTGGGGGTCCTTGCTCAGAAACTAGGACCCTATAAAAGGACAGTGGCATAACGAGAGCCCTGGAATTGGCTAAAGACAAAATGATAAATATTTGGACTGATCCTAAGTATGCATTTGGTGTGGTACATGCACATGGTGCCATCTGGAAAGAACGAGGACTTTTGAACAGACAAGGGAAACAGATTAAACATGCTATAGAAACTGCTGTTCAGCTACCTGAGGAAGTAACTATTATGTATTGTAGAGGGGCATCAACAAGGTGACCCTAATAAGAAAATTGGAAATAATTTGGCCAATTTTGAAGCCAAACGAGCAGCTGAACAACCTAAAATCATGTCCTTAATCCCTGATAGCAAACTAACAATTGAGAAATCTAAACGTAGATATTCAAAAGAGGATAAAAAGTTGACTGAAGATCTGAAAAGACAGGAAACGAAGAGGGCTGGGTTCAGATACCTGATGGGCAAATTGTAATTCCCTATAATCAACTCTGGAAGCTAGTTCAGGAGGAACATAATAAAACTCATGGGGTAGTAACTCTTTGTATATAAATCATAGGAAGGAATCTATACACCATAGTTCAATTAGTGACAAAACAATGTCAGCTCTGTCTTAAGAATAATCCTAAAACTGTAAAATAGGAATCCAATTGAGACAATTGGCAGAGGAAGTTATCCAGGACAGCAGTGGCAAATAGATTTTTGTGAATTACTGAGTAAAGGAGGTTATTGATATTTGTTGGCATTAAACAGAATATTAGGGACAAGAGCGACAGGTTTGGATTATCCAATTCACCCTTTCAGATCTGGAGACTGGGTTTAAGAATATTATACCTGTGTACAAAGAATTGCCACAGGTGTAGGTCACCATTCAAATTGCAATCACACTATTAATATAGATGGTACCGTAGTTCAGTGGTGGCCTGTTCCTGAAGGGAAAGGATGGTATTGGTTATGTGGAGAAAATGCTCGTAAGACTCTACCCCAGCTGGAAGGGGGTATGCACCTTAGGTGCTGTGGTACCCAATCTTACTATTATTGGCTTCACATTGGCTTGGAGTTTGTTCCACAAACAATGGTTCTTATATAGATCAAAGTGGCAGAATTGAAACAGATCTGGAAGAAATTTGGAAACAAATATTTCATGAAGTGACCAAGCATGATACCTCTTGGGCTTTTGCAGAAATATGGAAAAGTTAACTTCATGGTTACCTAATCTCTCCTGGTTGAGGCAACTGGTTGCAGAAATCTTAATACCAGTTGTTTTAACACTGATTACTTGTGGCATGATACACTGTTCTTTTTGGTGTTGTAAAAGGTCCGTAATTGATTATGAAGATTGGAAAAGACAGAAGGTTAGACAACAAGTTGAAAGTGATAAATACCTTGCCAGAATTCCTGAGTAAAATGGAGTTATATAGCAAAAGAATTTGCAAAGGTAAAAGAAAGGGGGGGACTTGATATAAGGAAAGCGAGTGCCTGGAAAACATAGGGTTAAGAAACTTTTAGCTTAACTTAGGTCTTAAGATAGAGAAAAGTGTTTGTGTTGTAAGTCTGCGGTGTGACAACAGAATTTAGTAGTCTTACTAACAAGAGTGAATTATTTCTTTCCATCCGTCTCATGAGTGACCATCCTTCTAATTATCAGTTAGTTTGGAGACGGTGACTCCTGAACATCAGCTAGCTTGGGATACTCCTTGTCTGCCCATCCCGGTCTGCTTGCAGTGAATTTTGTATGAAGGTCACACTGTCCTAAATCTTTGCCAGCTATCAGAAACTTACAGATCTGGCCGGTTTCAGCTGGTTTTGTGATTACTGGGGCATCCAACTGTGCCAAAGGTGAAAAGTGCACCATGAGGAAGACTACTTACTTCATCTTGAAGAACCCTGCCCATGACCATCAGAGGGCAGTGCACAAGTGCCAAAAGGGAGGAGACTTATGATAATGAGTACCTAAACTAATTGTAATATCCCCTCCCAACTCTCAGGAACCTAATGAATATGCATGTTTGTGTATAATAAATATCTGCTTGCTTAACCCCTCGGTGTGTGAGTTAGGATGAGAGATCCCCCTTGCACCCGGCGCCGTAATGAACATACCTGCTTTATAACTCTACCTGAGTTGTAGAGTCTGATTTCATGCTTCAGGGGTGCCGGGGGTGTGTCCCCCACCCTCACAGGCATGCTGAGGGCAGGCCAAGGCCTGGAAGGGCTTGTGCTTGCGCCTATCCAGTGCCTGCTCCAGCCCCAGCTCCACCATGTAGTCATTGGCCTGCAGGGGACAAGGGAACACTGGGGTCCGGGGTGTGGGGGGGACAGTGGGGGGCACAGAGAGCCCTGGAACAAAAGCAGTGCCAGAAGCACTGGAGCTGCAGCTTTCACTTATCAATATCTTCCTTCCCAAAGGTGGCATCAGCATCTCTCCCATCCTGACCCAGGGAGCTGGGCAGCTTCTCCTGCCTGCACCAGGGAGCAGAAAACAGGATCAACATCAGCGAATCCTGGAATGGTTTGGGTTGGAAGAGACCTTAAAAGTTCCTCCAGTTCCAACCCCCCTGCCATGGGCAGGGACACCTTCCACTAGAGCAGCTTGCTCCAAGCCCCTGTGTCCAACCTGGCCTTGAACACTGCCAGGGATGGGGCAGCCACAGCTTCTCTGGGCACCCTGTGCCAGTGCCTCAGCACCCTCACAGGGAAGAGCTTCTGCCTTATCTCCAACCTGAACTTCCCCTCTTTCTGTTTGAACCCATCACCCCTTGTCCTATCAGTACAGTCCCTGGAGAAGGATCCCTCCCCAGCATCCTTGTATGCCCCTTCAGACCCTGGAAGCTGCTCTGAGGTCTCCACACAGCTTCTCTTTTCCAGACTGAACAGCCCCAATGTTTTCCTCATCCCCACATACATTGCCAGGTCTTATACCCATGTACATCCCCATCTATGTTCCCGTGTCCTTGTACCCCCTCTTCGTGCTCTGTGCTGCCCAGTGTTTTGTTGTGCCGGTGCCCCGGTAACCGGGGGAGGAGAGAGGCTGAAGCTGGACTGTGCAGGGTGAGGGGCTGCCCAGGGACCTGCACCCGGGATGGGGGACCCCTGGTATCGGGGTGCATTCATGGGGGGCTGGATCCGTAGTGTCCTGGGGTCTGTGTCCATGGGGTGCTGGGTGTACCCCCGGGGTGCTGACCAGCGGGATTCCAGGGGCTGCAGAATCTCAGAACTCCCGTCCATTGTGATACCGGTGACACGGTGCCCATGCCAACCGCTGCCGCTGTTGCGGGGCTGCAGAGCCTCGTGTCCCTGCCTGTGAGAGGCACCCGTGTCCCGCAGGCTCTGGTACCGTGTCCCGCAGGATCCGGTGCCGTGTCCCGTGTCCCGCAGACTCAGGTGCTGGCTGAGGTGGGCGCTCCCTGCGCAGTGTCCCCCATGTCGGACGGCCCCTGGATGGGCAGCTGGAGGCCCCACCGCCCGCGGGGCCCCATCGCCGCCCTCTACACGAGCCCCGGCCCCAAGTACGGGCTCCCGAGCGGCGTCGGTGAGTGCGGCTGCGGGGGCTGAGGGGGATGTGGGGACCGGGGGGATGCGGGGGTGGGGGGGTGTCTGTGGGGTTGCGGTGCTTGGGGTCCCGCCACCGCCCCCGTGCCGGCCCCGCAGGTTTCTACGAGCACGACCCGTCCCGGGAGCGCGCCCCCGCCTTCAGCTTCGGGCTGCGGGTGCAGGCGCGGCCGCAGGAGCGCTCCCCGGGCCCCGGGTACCTGCTGCCGCCGGGCACCACCGCCAGGGGCCGCGCCGGGCCCCCCGCGTACTCCATCTGCAGCCGCCCGCGGGAGCCGCTGCCCTTCAACACCCCCGGCCCAGGTGAGACCCCCCCGGCCCCTCCATGGGCGCGGAGGGGCAGGGCCCCCCCCCCCCCCCCCCCACGGGCCGGGCCGTGGCCCCGCGCTGAGCACCCCCCCCTCCCCGCCCGCAGCCCGGTACCGGCCGGAGCGCGCCGGGAGGGTCGCGTTCCCCACGGCCCCCGCCTGCTCCATGAGCTCCCGCACCCGGCACGGGGCCGAGCAGCAGACACCGGGTGAGAGCGGCACCGTCAGCGGGGTGGGAGCCAATCGTTACCCCTTGGGATGGGACGGGGCGGGGCGGGACGGGACGGGACGGGACGGGACGGGACGGGACGGGATGGGATGGGATGGGATGGGACGGGACGGGACGGGATGGGATGGGACGGGATGGGATGGGACGGGATGGGATGGGATGGGACGGGATGGGATGGGACGGGATGGGATGGGATGGGACGGGATGGGACGGGACGGGACGGGACGGGACGGGACGGGATGGGATGGGATGGGATGGGACGGGACGGAACGGGACGGGACGGGATGGGATGGGACGGGGCCCCTATAATCTCTCATGGGATGGAATGGGTTGTGATAGGGCTCCCATGATCCCCCATGGGATGGATGGGGTGGGATTCCCTATGGGATGGGATAAGATTGGACCCCCATGATCCCCATGGGATGGGATGGGATCCCCCATGGGATGGGACCCTGATGATCCCCTGGGAGCCCCCTCATCCCTGAACTAGACCCCATGATCCCCCCGGGAGGGGATGGACCCCCCTCCCCCTTCCCCACAGGTTGGGCTGGTCCCTCCCTCCTGGGGGGGTGTCACCCCCCCTCTCCCCAATGACCCCTGTCCTCAGGCCCCGCTGCCTATCACCTGCCCCCCATGCTGGGCCCACACGTTGTGAGCAAGACCTCGGCACCCAGCTACTCCGTGTCAGGGCGCAGCACCATCGGCACCTTCTGCCAGGACCTGTGCAAGGTGGGGCAGAGAATCAGGTGGATGGGGGCCTGGGGGGCAAAGGGAGTCAGGGAGCCAAGGGTCCAGGGGGGAGGATGCTGAGGGGCTGGGGGGTGAGGGGCTGGGTACCAGGGGTCAGGGTTGTGGGAGGGTGATGGTGCTGGGGGTCAGGGCACCGGGTGCTGGGTACCAGGGGTCAGGGTACTGGGGGATCAGGATCTTGGGCTACTGGGGCATCAGGGTGGTGGGGATGAGGGTGCTGGGGCTCAGGGTGCTGGGTGCGGTGCCGGTGCTGATACCCGGCTCATGTCCCCCTGCCGTGCCCACAGACACCGGGGCCGTGCCAGTACCGCAGGGTGGACACGGACGTGTACAAGCACCGAGCACCGCGGTTCTCGATGCGGGCGCGGAACGTGCTGCCGGGGGACACCACCACCAAACCGGGCCCTGGCGCGTACAGTCCCCAGCAGGTCAGCAGGGACCCCTGTGGGGAGATATGGGGGGACACGGGCCAGAGCCCCCCCATCACCGTGTCCCCCCCTGCAGAGCCGGCCCCAGGGAGTGACCTTTGGCATCCGCCACTCCGAGTACCTGACGCCGCTCATCGTGGATGTGCCCGACTAGAGCCTGCGGCAGGCCGGAGCCGGGAACGGGCTCCAGGCGGGAAGGGGGGCTCCGGCTGGGAACAGGCTGTGTTCAGAGTCACCCCCGGGCTCCTTCTGTGTTCCCTGCGCCGCCCCCTGCGCCCTGTGCTGGGCAGAGCCACCTGCACGCTGCGGGTGCTCTGTTCCCATCCCCGTTCCCGTTCCCACCCCGTGCCCTGCTCTGCTGGAGGAGGCCCTGGAGAGGCCACGGGAAGAGGGGCTGAGCTCTGGCTCAGCATTATGGCTCCATAACCTCATAGTCCCACAGCACCGTAACCCCATAGCCCCATAACCTCATAGCCCCATAACCTCATAGCCCCATAACCTCATAGTCCCACAGCACCAGAACCCCACAGCCCCATAACCCCATAAACTCATAGCCCCAAAACCTCATAGCCCCATAACCTCATAGCCCCATAACCTCATAGTCCCACAGCACCAGAACCCCACAGCCCCATAACCCCATAAACTCATAGCCCCAAAACCTCATAGCCCCATAGCCTCATAGTCCCACAGCACTGTAACCCCATAGCTCCACAGCTCCATGGCTCTATAACCCCACAGCCCCACACCCCATGGCCCCATAGTGCCATGGCCCCCATGAACCCAATGAATCCCATCCTCTATGACCCCCAATGACCCCATGTCATCCATGACCCCATAATACCAACGACCCCCTGACCTCGCTGACCCTCCATAACTCCCTGCCCCCCATGACCCCGATGATCCCGGATGACCTCGTTGTCCCCGCCCCCCCCGTTGCCGCCCCGCGTGCGGAGGTGCCGCCAGGGGGCGCTCCGCCGGTCCTCCCGCCACTAGGGGGCGCTGCCGCGCGTGATGACCTCCCCCCCCCCTTGGCGGGTGCGCCCGCCCGGCGAAGCCCCGCCCCGGGACTTCCGGTTCCGGGTGCGTCCCGCGCTGACCAGCGCGGGCGGGACGCGGCTCACCGGGGACAGAGGTCAAAGGTCAGCCGGGGGGCGGGGCCTGGACCGGGAGGAAGGCGGGGGAGGGGAGGGGGGGTGTCAGAGGCCATTTGGGGTAAAGAGAGGCGATGATGGGGTCACAGGTCACGTGCGCGTCAGGGTCAGAGGTCAGCCCCGCCATGCTGCGCTCGCTGCTCTCCCGCCTGCGCCGCCCGGAGCCGCGGCCGCTCCCGCTGTGGCAGCGCGCGCTGGTGGCGGGGGCGGGCGCGGGGGCGGCGGCGGGCGCGTGGCTGTGGCTGCGGCAGCGGCGGGAGCGGCAGCGGCAGCGGCGGCGCCGGGAGGCGCTGCGGGAGCTGGCGCTGGCCCAGGGCGACTTCGCGCTGCGGGACCAGAGCGGGGCCGCCCGCGCCAAGAGCGACTTCCGCGGGCAGTGGGTGCTGCTCTACTTCGGGTTCACGCACTGCCCCGACGTGTGCCCCGCCGCGCTGGAGCGCCTCAGCCGGGCCGTGGCCGCGCTGGAGCGGGACCCGGCGCTGCCGCCGCTGCAGCCGCTCTTCGTCACCGTGGACCCCGAGCGCGACGACGAGGCGGCGCTGCAGCGGTACCTGCGCGACTTCCACCCGCGCCTGCTGGGGCTGACCGGCACCGCCGAGGAGGTGCGCGCCGCCGCCGCCGCCTTCCGCGTGTACGCCAGCGCCGGGCCCCGCGACGCCGACGGGGACTACATCGTGGACCACAGCGTCCTCATCTACCTCCTGGGCCCCGACGGGCTCTTCCTCGACTGCTACGGCAGCAGCAAGAGCGCCGAGGAGCTGGAGCGCAGCGTGCGCAGGCACATGCACACCTACCAGCCCCTGCAATAAAGCACCTGCAGCGCGCGTGTGAGTGCTTTGGGGGGGGGGGCTGACACCCCCTGTGGCAGCGGGGAGTGGGGCACGGGGCACCCTGGCAGCCCCCCAGGGTGCAGTTATGGGGGGGGGGAACATGGACCCTGATGGCTCCTGTGGTGGGACCATGGGATTGGGACCAGAACAGCCCCAACACCCGTGTGGCAGTGGGGAGTGAGGGAGACACAGAGCCTCACACCTCCTGCTATGGCAGGTGTAGGGATGGGGGACACCAACATCCCCAATGTCTTTTGGGGTGGTGGGAACCAGGATAAGGGGCCCCCCAACATCCCCCATGGTGACCCCAGCACCCGCCACAGTAGCAGGAACTGGGGTAACATGGACCCTGACACCACCTGCAGTGGCAGAGACCAGGGTGGGGGACCCTGACACCCCGCAGTGGCTCCCATGGTGGTGGGAACCAGGAGATGGGACTCTGATACCCCTAAAAGCAGTAGATCCTGGGTGAGGGGGACCCCAACTCCCCCTGATGCCTCCTTTGGCAGTGGGTATGGGCAGTAAGAGCCCCGATACCCCCACCGAACCCTCCAGGTGCATCCCCAGGGGTTGGGGTCTGTCCCCGCAGAGCAGCAGAGCTGGTCATTGTATCAAAACCGGGTTTATTGCCGTGGGGAAGGGGAGTGAGGGGACATAGGGGGGTTTGGGAGCACATGGAGGGAACTGAGGTCATGTGGGGGTGGAAGTACATAAGGGGGGAGTTGGGGATAAACAGGATGGGTCTGGGAGTACAAAAGGGGCACTGGGCATGAGTAAGAAGGGGTTGAGGACACATGAGGGGCTTTAGGGGTACAAAAGGGGCTGTTTGGGGCTATGAAGACAATACAGAAGGGGGAGGGCTGGGGTATGAAGGGGGGAGGCAAAGGAGTGTTGGGGTACAAAATGGGTATTGGGGGATTACAAAGGGGCTTGGAGGAGGGGTTGGTGGTAGGTGGAGGGGTTGGGGTGCCCGGGGAGTATCCCTCTCCTTCACGGGCATGCTGAGGGCAGGTGGAAGGCCTGGAAGCGCTCGTGCGCCTGCTGGTGCGTGAGCAGCCGGAGCCTCAGCGTGTCCAGTGCCTGCTCCAGCCCCGGCTCCTGCGCCAGCTCCACCACGTAGTCATTGGCCTGCAAGGGACGGGGGAACGCTGAGGTCTGGGGTGGCACAGGGAGCCCCGGAACACCCCCAGCACCCCCGGTCCCATTCATGCCCCCTCTGGCACTGAGGAGCTGCGGGCCCAGGGCACTCACAGCCCCCCATGGCACAGCCCCCCCCGCACTCACCAGCTGCAGCGCCGCCATCAGGTACCGGCTCACCTCGGCCGGGGGCCGCCCCGCCACGAGCCGTGCGAATGAGCGCCAGTGCCCGAGGGCGCCGCAGCCCTGCACCAGCGCCTGCCCATAGCCACGGACATCCAGAGCCTGGCGGGACTCCTGCGGGGGCAGCGGTCAGCGAGTGGGAAACAGGAAAAGAGGAGAGGAGAAAGGGAAAAAAGGGGGACAAGGGAGAGAAAATGGAGGGGGAAAAAGAGGAAAGAGTGGGAAGGGGGAAGGAAAAGCAGGGGAGGGAAAGTGAGAAGGGGGTTAGGAAAGGGGGGATAGAAAAGGAGAGGCAGGAAAGAGCCGTCCCAGCCCCTCCTATATCCCTGCCTGCTCCTGCAGCAGTGGCACCATCCGCTCCTCCCAGCACTGCACACGCTGTGACAGCTCTGTCTCCTGCACATAGCGCTGCGACTCCACCATGAACAGCTCCTGGGGGGCACGGGGAGGGTTGGGGTGCATGGGGACAGCAGGCGGGGTGGGGGCACCCCACAGCTTCCAGCACCTGCACTGCCTCCCCCCCCCCCCGGCACCTACCACGTTCCTGCGCACCAGCTCCTCGTAGCACAGAGAGTTGGAGGGACGGGGATCTGCAGGGGGGACAGCGGCAGTGAGGGCACATGGGGACATGCAGAGGGACAGGTCTGAGCACGGACACACACACAGGGACAGGGACATGGCCAACGATGGACAGACAGAGGGACAGGGGATGCAACCCCCCCCACCAGGGCCATGCACTCACTGGGGGCTCCTTCCTCCAGCTCCTCCAGGGCCTCAATGTCCTCGTGCTCCCCAAAGTCACCTATGAGGAGGGAGTGTGCTCAGTGACCTCCCCAGGCCCTGTCACAGCGGGATGGGGCCCCCCATAGGGGTGGGACAGGGACTGGGGGGGTCTCGGGGTGCAGCACCTTCTTCATCGTCCTCAGCCCCTCGCTCCTCCTCCAGCAGCTCCGGCTCCTCTTCAGGCTGCAGTGGCTCCTGCAGGGAACAGGCCTGAGCCCCCACCCCGGGGGTACAAGGCAGGATACCCCCAGCCCAGCACACCCCCCCCCCTCCAGCCCCACTCACCCTGGGCTGCAGCTTCCTTTGCACTGCCACCCGCTCCTTCATCTGCTTCCAGTAGAGCACCTCCAGGTCTGCAGCAGGACAGGGGCAGGGCAGCACCTCTGCACCCTGGGGGGGGGGGGGCCTGCCCTTCCAGCTCTCCCCCATCAAGGCACAGGGTGGCCACTGGTGCCATCCCAGGCTCCACTCACAGTTTTGGGGTGCAGGGTCCCCTCTGCCCTGGCTCTGTCCCCCCAAGAGAACGGCGCAGAAGCTGGGGGGGTGAGAGCCACAGGCAGGACACAGAGCGTATTCCCCAGCCCCACTACTCACCGGCAAAGGTCGGGCCGTTCCTCTTGGCTCTCCTGCCATCCGAGACGTTGTTGTCTGGGGGAACCACAGGGTTGAAGATCCCACCAGCCAAAGGTGCCCATTCCCACCAGGAGAACTGGGATCCCAGAGGAAGAACCCCCCCCCCAGGACAGCAGCACCGACACCTCTGCCACCACCACAGACCCCACACGGGGCTGTGGCCTCCAGAGCCACGTCCAAGGTGTCGTGTTGAGGTCCCCCCGTGGGGCTCAGCTGACCCTTCCCGTTGGATCCTGGCCGGATCCCATGGGACACGCTGCGGTACTCACAGGCCATGGCAAACCACTTCATGAAGTTCTGGAGCTTCCGGGGGGATTTCCTCTTGCGCTTCCCCCCCACCATGTCCTCCAGGCCCAGCGGCACCAGGAACGGTCTTCCTGGGAGTGGGAAGGGTCAGACTGGCCCTGGGCGCTGCCGGGAATGCTGGAGGGTGGCTCCAGCCTCGGCCCTTGGCACAGCCCCTCTGGGCACCATGGGGCCAGCAGAGACCCGTCGAGGATCCGGGAATGCCGAGGGACAAGCAGGTGGGAAAAGGTGCCGGGATAAACCCACTGTGGCTCCAGGGATGCCGAAGGACAAGAGGATGGGGAATGGAACCAGGATGAGCGGGTGCTGCACAGACAGAGCCAGGGCAGCAGCCCTGTCCTCAGCTCCCATCACGTACCTTTCCTTAGGGGTTTGTCCTCGGAGTCTGCGAAGGGATCAAGACTTTGCCACGGATCCAGCAGCTCCTGCAGGGAGTGGGTGCTGATGCATCCACAGCTCCCTGGGGCACCCTGGGAAGGGCTGGGACATCCCAGGGCTTCCCGGTGTCCCACAGCCCCAGGACGCTTCAGGTCCCCCTTACCTTGACATGGGTCTGGGGGAGCTGGGCAGGGGCTCGCTCCCGCAGCGCGTATCCTGGGGTGCTCTGGCAGGGACAGGATGAGCCGGATGAGCCGAGGCTCCGGTGAGGAGCGTGGCGCTGTCCCAGCCCTCACCTACCCGCTGTGATTCCATGTGTTTGGCACCACCCGGAGCCAGCACCGCGGCATCCTCCTGCATGGGATCATCTCCACCAGCACCATCATCCTCCAGTCCTGCATGGGAATGAGCCAGGATTCCCTGTTTCCCAAGGAGCACCCCAGGGGCTTCATGGAGGCACGGCAGCTGTGGCACGGATGGATACGCAGGCAGGACACATGGGCTAGACATGACACATGGACGTGACACATGGATGCATGGGCAGGACAGGCAGACGCCAGCAAAACCACAGGGACAGCCTGCGCCAGGTTCAGCAGCAGCAGTCACTTTTCTCTTTCCCAGTAGCTGGTGAAGGGCTGTGTTTGGGCTTTAGCCATGGGTTTAGCTGCTGCTCAGTAGCACTTACCCTGACTTTTCAGTCTCGTGCTCTGCAGCGAGGAGGGGCATGGGAAGCCGGGAGGAAGCAGGGATAGGACACCTGCCCCAAACTAGCTAAAAGGGTATTCTGTACCACAGCACGTCATGCTTGGGATGGAAACTGGGGGGAATCACCTGGAAGGCCCAGATCACTGCTCGGGTTGGGCTGGGTATCGGTCAGCGGGTGCTGAGCGGTCGTGTTCTCTCCCCTTGTTATTTCCCTTGTCATTATTACTACTGGTGGTAGCAGCAGTGGTTTGTGTTATACCTTAGTTACTGGACTGCTCTTATCTCAACCCATGGGAGTTACATTCTCTCCATTTTCCTCCCCATCCCTCCAGGAGCACGGAGGGGGAAGAAGCGGGGGGGAGTGAGCGAGTGGCTGCATGATTCTGAGCTAGCGGCTGGGCTAAACCACGACACACGTGGACACAGTGAGCAGGACCCAGGGACAGACACACGGGCAGGACACAGGGCCCTGGGATCTCACCTCCCTCCTCAGAGAAGCTCAGTGCCCGGACAGGAACCTCTGCACCGCTGCTGCTGCTGTTGTTGCTGCTGCTGGGGACACCGGCTGGAGCTGCCGCGGGTGACAACGGCCACAGGTCACCGGCAGTGGCCCTGGCACCGGAGCCACCAGCGCAGGGTTGCCCAGGGCAGCCTCCCTGCGGGCAGGAGCATCCCGCTCCGTGCCCTGTACCCAAACCATACCTGGGGCAGGGCCAGGGCTCTGGGGGTGGGCTGGGGACAGCCCCGCCAGCTCCAGCAGGAACGCTCCGGATTTGTGCGGGGTACACACGTTCATCCTGAAATCCTTGCGGCTCGCCAAGACCTCCCCCTTGCAGCTGCGGGCAGAGCCCCATCAGGGACCCCAAAGCAGCCTGCGGGAGGGGATGGCCCCAGCAGGGGGGCCACAGCCCCGGCCTTCCCAACAGTCCTTCCCAGCTCAGTCCTGCTGGGATCTCCCAGCCCAGCCCTGGCTCATCCCTTCCCCCCCCCCCCCCCCCATAGCCTACCTGCACCACAGGCAGCTCCCAGCCTCCAGAATCATCCCTCCCAGTTTAGGTGGGAAGGCAGCAGTTCCCTGGTTGAGGCATAGGGAAAGGCCAGCCCCACCACGGGGACACACAGGTAAAGCCACAGGAGTGGCTAAGGGAATCTCACCTGAGCAGGGGGTTGTCTCTCTTCTCATCGTCTTCTGGTGGGACCAAGGACATGGGGGTTGAAGGAATGATGCTCACGGGCTACAGAGGCAAACAGGTGGGTTGAGGGCACCTCGGGATTCATCCTAGGAAACCCCAGCACAGGGAGGGAGAGCAAAGGAGGGGAATGGCTCCTACGTTGGACTGGTGATCCTTCATGTCCACATTGGCCTGGCTGGTGTCCTTGATGTCATCCAGGGAGAGGAACTGCAGAGAGAGACCCACATGTGGTCACTTGTCTGTCTGTGGGGCCACGAGGACACAGGGGTGGGATGGACCCAGCACCAGAGGCACTGGAGCTGCAGCTCTCACCTTCTCATCAATATCTTCCTCCCCAAAGGTGGCATCGGCGTCTCTCCCATCTGGACCCAGGGAGCTGGGCAGCTTCTCCTGCCTGGATCAGGGAGCAGAAAACAGGATCAACATCAGGGAATCCTGGAATGGTTTGGGTTGGAAGGGACCTTAAAGTTCCTCCAGTTCCAGGGACACCTTCCACTAGAGCAGCTTGCTCCAAGCCCCTGTGTCCAACCTGGCCTTGAACACTGCCAGGGGTGGGGCAGCCACAGCTTCTCTGGGCACCCTGTGCCAGCACCTCAGCACCCTCACAGGGAAGAGCTTCTGCCTAAGAGCTCATCTCAATCTCCCCCCTGGCAGGTTAAAGCCATTCCCCTTGGCCTGTACTGAGAGCAGGCAGGAAAACCACAGGATGGTGGCACTGGACGTGCACATGGGGACAATCATGGCCCCAGGTTCTGGGGTTCATCCCACTGGGGACATTTCTTGCAGCCCCCCCAAAGTGCTTTGCATGGGCTCAAGACCAACCCTGCAAGAGGCATGTTTGGGTTTGTAACACAACGATCGCTGAGGGGCAGCAGGGTAGGAGGAGCCGGCACTGCAGCCCTACTTACTTCTTGTTGGAGATGTAGTCAAGCGTCTGGTACACCAGTGAGTAGAGATACTCCACCTAGGGAGGAAAACAACCAGGCTCAGGAGAGGGAGGAAGCAGCTCCCAGAAGAGCTGGTATGAGGGGAACAACCACCCTCCTCTGATCCCCAGTGCTTGGGTTCTGGCTCACCTTGTTCTTCTTTTCCCTGTTTCTTCCCTTCTGAGGCCAGGTTTGGGCAAGCTGGGACCTGGTGTCCCTCCCCATGGCAAGGGATTGGAGCTGGATGAGCTTTAAGGTCCCTTCAACCCAAACCAGTCTGTGACTCATGATTTTATGACATCTGTAGTCCTCAACAGGAGGATCTCCCTTATCCCTTTGGATTTTTGGTGTCTATACACATTATTCCGGTCCAGTGCTGTATAAATCACTTTAATCCAACCCCATATAAATCATCACCAATTCTGACATGATCTCTTCTGTACATCACAGAGTGGACCTGGCCATGGAATTCCATTCAATCCCACACTTAGCAGCACTCACATCCCTGGCAGACTCTCGGAGCCACCCCTGACACCCAGCTCCCCCATCACCACCAGCTCCTCACCTTCCTGCTGTAGACACAGGCGGATCCCTGAATGAGCAGCGCCGCCTCCATGAAGTTCATGGTGGTTCTCCCATTGTCGAAGGAAATGCAGACGTTCTCCAGCTGCCGGGAACAGGAGTGATGGCAGTGGGGAGCGGGGGGGGGGGGGGGGGGTTGGGATGGACCAGGGCAGGACCCCCCCATCACCTCACCTCCTCCAGGTACTCGCTGAGCTGTGCGGCCACGTCCACCTCCCAGTTCTTGGTGAGGTCGCGGATGGGCTGCAGGAGGTGCACGAAGCGGGACTCCAGCTCCCGCCTGGTGGGGGGCATCTTCTGAGCTCTGAACGGGGTTAACCCCTGCTGTTAGCAGCCGGTGATCCCACAGGTGGCATCGGAGAGGGGAAGGTCACAGAGAGCAGCTGATGGAAACCTGAAACAGAAACCTGGAGTTGAACAGAACCATGCAGCGAACACACATCATGGAACCAACTGGGTTGGCAAAGAGCTTCAGATCAAACAGTCCAACCATTCCCCAGCACTGCCAAGGCCACCACTGCCCCATGGCACTGACGCCTCATCTCCACGCTGTGTGAACACTTGCAGGGACGGTGACTGCAGCCCTGCCCTGGGCAGCCTGTTCCAATGCCTGAGCACCCTCTGGGGCAGGAATTGTTCCTCAGCTCCATCTAAACCTGCCCTGGTGCAGCTTGAGGTTGGTTCCTCTTGTCCCATCCCTTGTTCCCTGGGAGCAGAGCCCAGCCCCTCCTGGCTCCATCCTCCTGTCAGGCTCTTGTAGGGAGCCATCAGGTCCCCCCTGAGCCTTCTCTTCTCTACACTGAACCCCCCAGGTCCCTCAGCCCTTCCCCATCACACTTGTGCTCCAGGCCCTGCACCAGCTCCACTGCCCTTCTTTGGCCCCTCTCCAGCACCTCAATGTCTCGTTTCGTACAATCCCAGCCTGGTTTGTGTTGAAAAGGACCTTAAAGCTCCTCTGGTTCCAACCCCTGCCACGGGCAGGGACCCCTTCCACTAGAGCAGCTTGCTCCAAGCCCCTGTGTCCAACCTGGCCTTGAACACTGCCAGGGATGGGGCAGCCACAGCCTCTCCGGGCACCCCATTACTTGCATTGTGAGGCCCGGGGCTGAGCTCTGAGCTCTCTTCAGCCCCACAGGAGCCGCACACGCGGAGCAGCCCCTCAGGACCCGGAACGGAGCAGTGAACATCAACTCCTCCCCACCCCGGTGCAGCCGCAGCTCAGCGGGACCCGGCAGCTGGGTCCCATCAACCTCCTGGTCCCCGGGCACGGTCAAGCTCCTGGGGCCGATCGCTCGTGCCGATCCCAGCGAACCCCTGACCCCGGTCAGACCCCGGTCAGACCCCGGTCAGACCCCGGTCAGACCCCGGCCCCGCTCCGCCGCTCACCGCCGCCTCCTCACCTCTCTGCCGCCATTTTGCACTTCCCGCCCGAAACGGCGCGGGGAGGAGCGTGCTGACGTCATTGCGCGCAGGCGCAGTGGGCGGGGCGAGCTCTGTGGTGCCGCCGCCGCCGCCGTTGCTGCCGCTGATGGCGGAGCCGCCTCGGCGGGTGCGGGAGCTTCTCCTGGCCGGGCTGGCCGCCGCTTACCTCGCCGCCTTCGCCTCGCTCTACGTGCAGGTCCCCGGTACGGCGGGGCGCGGGTGGGGGGTGCCGGGGTCTGTCGTTGGGGGGGGGGCTCTCCCTTCCCGCAGTCCTGTCCCGGGGGTCCCGGCGGGCTCCGGGCCCACACCTCGCTGAGGTACCGCAGCGCAGTGCTGCGGCGGCCGCGGCTGCTCCGGCCTCCTACGTGGCTCGCCCTGGTCTGGCCGCCGTTTGGGCTCATCCCAGGGCTGTTCCGTGCCCAGTCCGAGAGGAAATGGGTTTTCCGAGAGGGAATAACGGCTGCGTGTCTGATGGGCACCAGCGGCGTCCTTCAGGGACCCGAGCTGCGAGCAGCGATCTTTAATGTTTGGTATTAACGATGTGGAGAGCGCGGCTGAGTGTGCTGTGAGGCGGTGTGCTGGTGACACCGAGCTGCGGTGGGGTGGAGGCGGTGGCATACTGGGAGGATGCTGAGGATGGGATGCTGGGGAGGTGCCCTCATCACGGGCTGTAGCAGCAGGACAAGGGGTGATGGGTTCAAACAGAGGGGAAGTTCAGGTTGGAGATGAGGCAGAAGTTCTTCTGGCAGTGTTCAAGGCCAGGTTGGACAAGGCTTGGAGCAAACTGCTCTAGTGGAAGGTGTCCCTGCCCGTGGCAGGGGGTTGAGACTGGATGAGCTTTAAGGTCCCTTCCAACACAACCTGTTCCATGATCCTATGAAACTGGGAAGCCAGTGTTGAATGGGGCCAAGCTGGAGCTCCTCCAGGTACTGACAGGGTGGGCTCCCAATGTGCTGCCCCACCTTTAGCAGCCTAAAAATACCTTTATCCCACTTCCCACCATCCCTTTTCCAGGTCTCTATGGAAGAGATGGAATCCTGCCTGCTCGCAGAGTGCTGCGCCTCAGTGGCCAGCGTCTATGGGAGCAGTTCCGGGATTTTCCCACTCTCCTGTGGCTTGGGCCCAGCCTGGGTTTGGATACAGAGCTGGGAATGGAGCTGCTCTGCCTTCTTGGGGTGCTCTGCTCCTTCGGTGCCTTGCTGCTGGAGCCCCTGAGGGACAGCCTGGTCTTTGCCTTGCTCTGGGTGCTTTATTTCTCACTCTACCAGGTATGAGATCCAATGGGAAGGGGTTTGTGGCGCCCTGGAGGGGTTGGAATGGGATCTAGGAGGCCAGGGAGGTGACATTGTTCCATTAATACCATCCCATGAGCTCCTGGAACTCTCAGCTTCCCCCTTGGAGCTGTGGGGAAGGTGCTGATACCTCCTTGGCTCATGTTGGTGGGTACAGCACCATCCTTGTGCCAATTCTTGGTGCTTTCTTAGGATAAACCCCCCTGGACTTGCCTGCAGAGCTGATTCCCTGCCTTACCAAGCCTTGCCAGGGCCCTTATCCCAAGCTCCAGGCCCTTTCCCTGTATCCCACAAGATCTGTGTCCCCCAGCCATGAATCCACCCTCCTGAGCCGCTTCCTGCTGGTGAGTCAGATCCCGCTGTGCAAGCGGCAGTAGGAGGAATTGAGGGATCCTCTTTCCTCTGAAACCAGGGAATGAAGGGAGGAAATCCCACCTCTGTTTAGAGATCGCCCCAGCCCTCACTGCTCCCTCCTGCTGGAGTTTGGGCTGTGTCTGGCAATGCAGGGAATGCTGTTGGGAAGCTGGAAGGGTGAAGGGCTGGCTATAGGAAGGGGGTCCCTCTGTGCTGGGGGGCTCCCCTGCAGTGCTGTCACCCCACAGTTTCCCCAGCACTCGGCTGCACCCCGTGGGGAGCTGTTGCATGGCACAGGCGGTGCTATTGAGCTGTGTCCATGTGTCCCAGGAGAGCCATGGCAGGAGCTGGGGCTCGGAGCGATTCAGTGCCCCGGCAGGGGGAGGGAGTGGCACCTCTTAGGTGGGAGGAGGCTCTGGGGGACCCCCCGCCCGTGGGGGCTCTGTCCCTGCGTGGCTCCTGTGCCGTGTGTGGCTCTGCCTCTGCCGGCCCATGTGCGGCCAGAATTCCTTCTCCTCGCTCCCTTTTAAGGGTATGCTGGAGAGAAAGTCCCTGTTCCTGCTCCTTGGGGCAGGCTCCAGCCCTGGGCCTGGGCTGGTGTGAGAGCTGCTCCTGGCCGCTGCCCTCCTGCTCCTCCTGCTGCTCCTCATAGCTTTGACCTGCCAGAGGGGAGACTGAGATGAGCTCTTAGGCAGAAGCTCTTCCCTGTGAGGGTGCTGAGGCGCTGGCACAGGGTGCCCAGAGAAGCTGTGGCTGCCCCATCCCTGGCAGTGCTCAAGGCCGGGTTGGACACAGGGGCTTGGAGCAAGCTGCTCTAGTGGAAGGTGCCCCTGCCCATGGCATGGTTTGGAACTGGATGAGCTTTAAGGTCCCTTCCATCCCAAACTATTCCATGATTCCATCAGTGACGCTGCTGTGCTGGGCTGTGTTCCTGCACACACCATGGAGTCTTCTCTCCCAGCCCCACTGGGGTACATGAGGGGGTCTGTGGCCACCCCAGGGCCATGGGGGATGGACTAGGGCCCAATCCTGCCCCCATTCCCTGCTCACCAGCCTCCCTCTCTCCTGCAGGTGGGACAGGTCTTCCTCTACTTCCAGTGGTAAGTCACCCCCACCTCATCCCTCCCTTTGGGGGGTCCACCCTGCCTGGGTGGCAAGGGGGGCCACAGCTCTGATGCTCCCACAGGGACAGTCTGCTGCTGGAAGCGGGGTTCCTGGCCGTACTGGTGGCCCCCCTGCGCCTCCTCTCGTGGGGGTCCCCAGCCTGGCGCCCCCACGACAGCATCACCTTCTGGCTCATGCGCTGGCTGCTCTTCCGCCTCATGTTCGCCTCGGGGGTGGTGAAGCTCACCAGCCGCTGCCCCACATGGTGGGGGCTCACAGGTGAGGGGGCGCTGCGGCTGTGGGGCCAGGCAGGGGCACTGCCCTGAACCTCAGGCTCTGCTCCCCATGCCCAAAGACAGCCGCTGTGGGCTCCTCTCCTGTCTTGGCATAGCTTTTTGCTGGCTCTGCCCGATCCATTCTGCATCCATGTGACCCCCATGTTTCCCCCCAACCCCTGCTGTCCCCCCCAGCTCTCACCTACCACTACGAGACCCAGTGCATCCCCACGCCAGCTGCGTGGTTTGCGCACCAGCTCCCAGTGTGGTTCCAGAAGTTCAGTGTGGTAGCCACCTATGTCATCGAGGTCGCTGTCCCCGTCCTGTTCTTCGCTCCCATCCGCCGACTCCGGCTCTTCGCCTTCTACAGCCAGGTGGGGGGGCAGAGACAGGTCCAGTCCTGTTCCTTGTAATCCCACGTGCCATGGGGCTCCCCAAGATGGGGAGCCCAGCTCAGGCCGTGGGCAGAACAGGGCCCTGTGGTAGCTGGGGTGGCTGGTGGTGATGAGGTGCCTGATGCCCTCTGCCCCCTACCACTACGACACCTCGACCCTTTGCTGCTCCCCAGGTCCTGCTGCAGGTCCTCATTATCCTCACGGGCAACTACAACTTCTTCAACATGCTCACCATCGTCCTGGCTTCCTCCCTGCTGGATGAGGAGCATGTGGGGCGCTCAACAGGGCGCAGCAAGAAGAGGAACACAGTCTGTGAGTCTGGGGTGCCCAGTCTGGGGGGTGGGCTCCCGTCTCTGCCCTGTGCCGGTGTGAGCGCAAGGGGTGGTGGATTGGCTGCTGCTGCAGGGATGTGTTTGGCCTCTGTCTGCTGTGGCACTGAGCTACTGTGTCATGCCACAGCCTGGCCCCCCAGCCTCGGGTCCTTCCTGTCCACGCTGCTGGAGCTGAGCACCTACAGCCTCCTGCTCTATTGGAGCATTCAGTACTTTAGCCTGGAGATCAACTGGGACAAGAGGCTGCTGGAGTCCAAAGTGGGTACGTCGCAGCAGGGGCTGCAGGGTCCCGGTGTCCCTGGGGTGGAAGAGGCTCTTCCCTGACCCTCCATGGGTTTTCCTTCACTCCAGCCTTCACCTACCACGAGTTCACGATGTGGCTGCGGGCGGTGACACTGCCGCTGGTGGGGCTGGCCTTCCTCTCACTGTCCTGGGAGATCCTGGCTGCCATGTACCGGTGCGTGATGGGAGGGGACACTTGGGGCTGCTCTGGGGTCCCTGGGGGTGGGATTGCTGCAGAGAGGGACACTTGGGTATGGGGGAGCTGGGTGGGAAGGCTGGACCTTGGGGCTGTATGAAGTGGGGGCCTTGTCATGGGTGCTGGGAGCATTAGAGGGGGACTAAGCCCAAGCACAACTACAGGCTGGGGGAGACTGGATGGAGCAGCCTGAGGAGAAGGACCTGAGATTCAGGGACCCTTCCAACCCAAATGAGTCTGACGCATCTCTCCCCTTTTGTAGCTGTGCCTGTGTCCGTGGCTACTTCTGGAAGCTCTGGGCCATGCTGCAGTGGGTCATCTTCACCACCGCGGCCGTGGGGGTATTTGCCATCAGCCTGGTGAGTGCAGGGATGGGGTTTGGGGAGCAGGACGTGGTCTGGGCCCCTTATGCCGTGGTGCTGGAGCATTTCCCTGCCCCTCCCCAGGTGCCCTTCACCTACATAGAGTTTGAGTCCAACGGGAAGCTGTGGCCCGGCATCCACCAGGCGTTTGGCGTGGTGCAGCGTCTCCAGCTCGTGAACTCCTACGGGCTGTTCCGCAGGATGACGGGCGTCGGGGGGCGGCCTGAGGTGGTTTTGGAAGGCAGCTACGATGGGCAGAACTGGACGGTGAGCACTGGTCCCCAGTCACAGGGCCCTTGGGTGGGAAAGGGTCTTCAGGATCATCCAGTCCAACCGTTCCCAGCACTGCCAAGGCCACCACTGCCCCGTGGCACTGAGGCCTTGTCTCCACGCTGTGTGAACACTTGCAGGGATGGTGACTGCAGCCCTGCCCTGGGCAGCCTGTTCCAATGCCTGAGCACCCTCTGGGGCAGGAATTGTTCCTCAGCTCCATCTAAACCTGCCCTGGTGCAGCTTGAGGCCGTTTCCTCTTGTCCCATCCCTTGTTCCTTGGGAGCAGAGCCCAGCCCCTCCTGGCTCCATCCTCCTCTCAGGCAGTTGTAGGGAGCCATCAGGTCCCCCCTGAGCCTTCTCTTCTCCCCACTGAACCCCCCAGGTCCCTCAGCCGCTCCCAATCACACTTGTGGTCCGGGCCCTGCACCAGCTCCGTTGCACTTCTCTGGCCCCTCTCCAGCACCTCAATGTCTCTCTTGCAGTGAGGGGCTCAGCGCTGAACACAGGATTCAAGGTGCAGCCTCACCAGTGCCCAGTGCGATCACTGCCCTGGCCCTGCTGCCACGCTTGGTGCTGGCACAAACCACTGTGCTGTTCCTCCTTGGCCACCTGGGCCCGCTATTGGCTCATTCAGCCACTGTCAACCACCCCCGCCCAGGTCCTTTTTCATGGGCATCTTTCCAGGCACTCCTCACGCCTGGAGCGCTGCTGTGGTGGTTGTGAACTGAATGCACTGAGCTTTGGTGAATCGAGTCTCACAGTTGTATTTAGTGCCACAGGCAGGTGTGGGGTGGCTGAGGAATCAACTCCACTGGATCCAAGCATCTGTGTCGCACTGGCCTGTGTCCTCGGGGGGGCTTTGTCCCTCTGGAAGCACATGATAACCCCAGAAGTGACTGTGGGTACGCTCAGCCTTATGCCCGCAGAGCTGGGGGGAGCTCCAGGGCCACCTCCTTACCCCCGCTGACACCCGCCATTCCCTCTCTGCCCTCCAGGAGATCGAGTTCATGTACAAGCCAGGGAACGTGAGCAGGGCTCCCCCCGTGGTGGCCCCGCACCAGCCCCGGCTCGACTGGCAGATGTGGTTTGCAGCCCTGGGCCACCACAGCAGCAGCCCCTGGTTCAGCAGCTTCGTGCACCGCCTGCTGCAGGGCCAGGAGGACGGTGAGTGGGGCTGGGGCAGTGCTCTGTGCTCCGGAGACACGGGCTCCAGCCCAGCAGTGCCTCGGGGTGCCCCTGCACCCATGGGTACAGGCTCCCGGCCGCAGCTAACGCCACGTCTCCTGCAGTGATCCGCCTGGTGCAGGTCGATGAGTCCCAGTATCCCTTCAACGCCCGCCCCCCTGTCTACATCCGTGCCCAGCTCTACAAGTACTGGTTCACCAGCAGCACCGAGGGCAGGTGAGTGGCACCGGACCCCTCTGCACCCGTCTGCACCCCGGATCTGATGTGACACCACATCTGCTTGCAGATGGTACTGTCGCATGAGTGCCCAGGGGGTGGCGCAGGCTGGATTTGGGATCTACCTGGGATCATTAACTTGCCCTGCAGCTCCTCAGCACCCTGGGCTCTGCCTGAGGGTGTCAGGAGCCGCCCACGGCTGTGGGGGGGGGGGGGCCAGGCAGGGTGCTGAGCTCTCCCACCCCACAGCCACTCGTGGTGGCGTCGGCAGCGGGTGCAGGAGTTCTTCCCCAGCGTGTCCCTGGGTGATCCCATGCTGGAGAACCTGCTCAACCAGCACGGGCTCAAGGTAGGACCCCACCCCACAGTCACCCCACGGTCACCCCACAGTCACCCAGTGTCCCCCTGACCTCCTCCTCACCCCCAGCAGGACAAGACCCCGGCAAGGCGCCCACTGGCCACGGTGCTGCCGCGGGTGCTCCAGTCACTGCGCCAGCTCTGCCGCCCGGTGCCTGGCCCCACCATCCTCTGGTCCCTCTACCTGGTGGTGGCCACTGCCTGCCTCCTGCGAGCCCTGCACCACCAGTGCCGGGGGGGGGCACCCCCTGCCTGCCACAAAGGGCCCCGGCGCGGAGACCCTGCGGACAGGGGGGGTGCGGAGAAGAACGGGCACATGCGGAGGAGGGAGCCCCAGGAGAGGGGTGAGAGCCGGGCCTGCGGTGGCCCCGAGGCCTGTGGGGGCGGCCGCCATGGCACCAAGAGGAAGAAGTAGCACCCAGAGCCGCCAGCCTGGGTCTCGTCTTCCACCGGTGGACTGAAGGCACCCTAGGGTGCTGCACTAATGCCAGCAACACCGGGTGGCTCCATTGCCTCTGATCCCTGTGCTGCGGCTTCAGGGTGATGCTGGCGCTTGTGTGGTGGGTATTGGCACTGGTGGGGCAATGCCAGGCACTGGTGGGGTCATGCTCGGTGCTGGTGGGAGCAGCTTTGGGCAGCACCAGCCTTTCCAGTTATCCTTCCCAGCCCTTAGCCACCACCAGACCAGTTTGGGTTCTCCCTAGACCAGCTGGGCTGCTCCCCCCCACCCTCGCTGGGCTGCTCCATGCTCCCCCAGTGAGCTCAGCAGGTTCCTATGTTTTCTAAATAAAGCCTTTGACATTCCAGCCCCACGGCTCTTGCTGGGATTCCTCCCTGGGGAGGAGTCCCCCGTGTGCCTGGGGAGGGGTTGCTCCATGTCTCCCCTATAGTGCAGGTGCCACTGGGCGTGTGTGACAAGCAGGTTTATTGTATGGCCCCAGGGCCCCCATGGCAAAGGGGCTGTGCCATGGGGCTGGGGTGTGCTGAGAGTCTCAGGGTGGTGCAGTAGGGGTCCCAGTGTGATACCATGGGTCACAGTGGTAGTTCTGGTGTACTATACTGGGGGTCCCACTGCAGCACAGTGAGGTCTCGCTGCAGTATGGTGGGGGTCCCAGTGCATTGTGTCTTGTGGCAGGGATCCCGGTGCCTTGCCCTGGGGGTCTCAGTGGGGTATGGTGGTGGGGATCCCAATGCAGTGTGGTACTGTTGGTCCTGGCGCAAAGGGGGGACCCGTTTTGGTGCAGTGACAGTCCTGGTGCAGTAGGGGTCCTGGTATGGTCCCAGCGCTGTCCCGGGGTTGGGGGTGCTCCCGGTGTGCCTGCCCCTCACCAGCACAGCTCCCCAGGGCAGTACTTGTCGATGAGCGACTGGTAGTAGCTGCGGAGCTGCTGCACATCGGGCAGCTCCTCCTGCTTCGTGTACAGGTCGAACTTGCTGTGGAGTAGTTCAGTGTGGTCAGCACTGGAGGGGGGGCTCACCTGGGGCTGAGCCCCCTCCCAAAGCCCCCTACATCCCCCCCAGTCACGCACTTGAGCTCGCGCACCCAGGGCAGCATGCGAAGGTCCTCCTCGCTGCAGAGGTGCAGGTAGTCCCCGTGTGCGTGCCAGGGGTAGAAGGAGTGGAACCGCACCATGTAGAAGGCCTGAGGGCATGGGGATGGGCACGGAGAGGGAGTGTCAGCTCGGGGTGGGGGGACCATGTGTCCCCCCCATTACTGACCTGCCTTCCCCGCAGCCGCATCCCTCACCTCCTTGGGCAGGGTGAAGTTGTTGAACTTCATGACCCGGTACATGTACTCTGGGGAGCAATGGGGTGCAGCGATGGGGCCGAGCACCCCAAGAGCCACACCCCCCAGCAAAGGTGCTCCAGGCCTGAATCCCTGGGAAAGAGGGGGGTCCGGGTGCCCTGTTTGTGGGTGAGGGACCCCCCTGCTTCCCCTCTCATCCCTTACCGTCGTGTCCCCAGGACATGAGGACATTCTCCAGGCCGCAGCGGGGCTGGTACATCCCGTACTCAGTGCTGGGGATGGAGCCAGGTTGGGGGGCTCAGGGTTGGTGCCTGCACCCCCCCCACCCCGGGAGTGATGTGGGGTGCAATGAGGGGTGTAACGTTGGGTGCAGCCCTCAGCAGCCACCTCACCTATACCGGGGGTCCTTGGTGTCGGGGTTGTCGTGGAAGGTGGAGTCTCCAAACACCACTGACTTCTGCACTTTGCAGCCCACGGGGAAGGTGTCCCCCACCACGGCCCACTGCAGGGGTGCATGGGGGTCTCTGATCACCAGGACCCCCCTGGATCCCCTCATGCCCCCCAGTCCGTCCCCCCCCGCTCACCTGGGGTTCCCCAAACAGCGCCAGCACCTTGCCCAGGTCGTGCAGCAGCCCCACGAGGTGGAACCAGTCTGGGGGTGAGCGGGGCCATTACCCCCAATAGATGTGACCCCGGGGGGTTGGGGGGGATTGGGGGTGTGGGACCCCCCCAGCTTTACCTTTGTCAGGGTGGGCCTTGCGGATGCCCTCTGCTGTCTGGTAGGCATGGAAGGAGTTGGGGAAGTCCACGTCTGGGTCGGACTCATCCACCAGCTCATCCAGCAGCTCCAGGGCCTCCATCACAGTCATGCGGCGCTGTGAGCACGGCCCGTACTGCGCACACTGTGTGTGTGGGGGGGATGCAGTGGGGTTTTTGGGGACAGGGTCCCCCCACAACCTGCGCCAGGACCCCAACACCCCCGACCCCCATTGCAGTGCGCAGGGAGTGGGTGCCCCGGTGCATGGGCTGGACTTGGGGTGCTGGGGGGGGTCACACCTTCTTGCGCACGAAGTCCACGGTCTGGTGTGTGTGCATGAGCCGGTACGTGTTGTACACCCGCTCCAGCAGCTTCCCCTCCTGTGTGCAATGCGGGAGGGGGGGGTCTAGGGTGTGGGGACACCCCCCAACACAGCAGAGCACCCCTGGACTCCCACAGCAGTGGGTGAGACCCCCCTGGCTTGGATATGGGGGTTGCAGCTGGATCCCCCCTGCACCCTGCTTGTGCAGGGACCCCCCCATAATGACCGCCCTGGTGCAGACACCCCCCAAACGGCCCAACTGGTGCAGGAGAACCCCCCAGTGATGGGGACCCCCCTGACCCCCCCCTTCCCCCGTGCAGCCCCCCCTCACCGTGTAGTTGCGGTACTGGTGCCGGGGCTCGGCCGTGCTGGGGGGCAGCTCCTCAGGGCAGTTGGATTCCTGGGGAGGGGAAAGGGCTGCTGAGGGTGTGGGGGGGCCCTTCCTGTGCTGCTGGTGGCATGGGGGGAGCAGGGGGGACCCAAGGGTGCTGCAGGTGCTGCATGGGACTGCATGGCATCGCATGGTGCTGCGCAGCCCTGCACCGTGTGTCACAGCATTGCAAGGCTCTTGGGTGCAGCTGAACCCCAGGGTGCTGCCCAATGCCCCATGTGTCCTGCACCCCCCAGGGGTGGGAGGCAGGCCCCAAGGACTGTGGGACCCCCATTTTGCCCCGGCCGGTCACTTGGCTGGAACCCACTTGGGGGTTGGCCCCCCATGGCAGGGAGGATACAGCCGTGGGTCCTGGGGCTCCTCCACCCCTCAAAAGGCACCAGCCCTGGGGTAGGGGCCCCTGGGGCTGCTGCCTGTGGCATGGGTCCCATGGGGGTGACACTTGTGGGGCTGAGCCCCGGGGGGGGGGCGAGGGGGTCTGCCCTGGTGTGTGGGGAGTGCAGGGGGGGCTCTGTCCCCCCTGTGTGGGGCAGTGCAGGGGAGGCTCTGTTCCCCATGAGTGGAGCAGTGCAAGGGGGGCTCTGTCCTCCACGTGTGGGGCAGTGCAGGGGAGGCTCTGTTCCCCGTGTGTGGGGCAGTGCAAGGGGGGCTCTGTTCCCCATGAGTGGGGCAGTGCAGGGGGGGCTCTGTCCCCCATGAGCGGGGCAGTGCAGGGAAGGGGGTGGGGCTCTGTCCTCCACGTGTGGGGCAGTGCAGGGGAGGCTCTGTTCCCCGTGTGTGGGGCAGTGCAGGGGGGGCTCTGACCCCCGTGTGTGGGGCAGTGCAGGGGAGGCTCTGTTCCCCATGAGTGGGGCAGTGCAGGGAAGGGGGGGGCTCTGTCCTCCACGTGTGGGGCAGTGCAAGGGGGGCTCTGTTCCCCATGAGTGGGGCAGTGCAGGGGAGGCTCTGTTCCCCATGAGTGGGACAGTGCAGGGAAGGGGGGGGGCTCTGTCCTCCACGTGTGGGGCAGTGCAGGGGAGGCTCTGTTCCCCGTGTGTGGGGCAGTGCAGGGGAGGCTCTGACCCCCGTGTGTGGGGCAGTGCAGGGGGGGGCTCTGTCCTCCACGTGTGGGGCAGTGCAGGGGAGGCTCTGTTCCCCGTGTGTGGGGCAGTGCAGGGGAGGCTCTGTTCCCCGTGTGTGGGGCAGTGCAGGGGGGGCTCTGACCCCCGTGTGTGGGGCAGTGCAGGGGGGGTTCTGCCCCCCCATGCGTGGGGCGATGTGGGTCTGTACTCACCACCCGTTGGCTGCTCATGGCGGCGGGGCTGTGGGTGCTCGGCTCTGGCCCTGCTCGGCCCCCCCCGGCTTTATCCCCGCGGGACAATGGGTCACCAGTTAACCCTTGTTAATGGTTCAACTGGGGCAGGGGCCGGGCCTGGGCTGGGCAGCCCCGAGCAGGGACCTCAAGCCCCAACCCCAAACCCTGACCCCCAGCAGGGACCCCCAAGTTGGGACCCCCCGGCGATGGGCGGCCCTGGGGCTGCCTATGGGGAGCAGACGGGCTGCAGTGTGACCCTGATGGGGACGTGGGAGCAGGACTTGGCCTGCACCCTGGGGCGCAGTGAGGGGCTGGGGGGGCTGTGCGGAGCAGGCTGGGGGCAGGACCCAGCAGGCAGCTGCCAAGGGGGCTGGGGATGTCATGGGGGACACGGCCCCTCTGGGGGCACACGGACATGCCAGACCATGGGCATGCGGCTGGGGCATGGCGTGACACACACCATATGCATAGGGTGACACGCTGTGTGCATGGGGTGACATAAACCATGTGCATGGGGTGACACACACCGTATACATGGGGTGACACGCTGTGTGCATGGGGTGACACACACCATGTACATGGGGTGACACGCTGTGTGCATGGGGTGACACGCTGTGTTCATGGGATGACACACACCATATACATGGGGTGACACACTGTGCGCATGGGGTGACACACACCATATACATGGGGTGACACGCTGTGTGCATGGGGTGACACGCTGTGTTCATGGGATGACACACACCATGTACATGGGGTGACACACTGTGCGCATGGGGTGACACACACCATATACATGGGGTGACACGCTGTGTGCATGGGGTGACATAAACCATGTGCATGGAGTGACACACTGTGTGCATGGGGTGACACACACCGTATACATGGGGTGACACACTGCGTGCATGGGGTGACATAAACCATGTGCATGGGGTGACACACTGTGTGCATGGCATGACACACGCCATGTACATGGGGTGACACCATGTACATGGGGTCACACACCGTGTGCATGGGGTGACACACTGTGTTCATGGGATGACACACACCATGTGCATGGGGTCACACACCGTGTGCATGGGGTGACACCCTGCATTCCTGGGATGACACACACCATGTGCATGGAGTGACACACACCATGTGCATGGAGTGACACACTGTGTGCATGGGGTGACACGCTGTGCTCATGGGGTGACACGCTGTGTTCATGGGGTGACACACACCATATACATGGATTGATACACACTGTTGGCTGTCCCACTGCCTGGGGACTGTAGTGTCCCCCACCCCCCTCCATGCCCCATTCCCATGGGATTCCCAAGCCAGGACCCCTCCTCACACCCTTTATTCTGCACAGCGTCAGAGGCACCCATGGGTGGGCGGCTGAGGGCTGGGGGGGGGATGCTCAGTGGGAGTGGGGTGCTCATGGGGTGTCACAGCATGGGGTGGCAGGGACACCGGGGTCCCCTCATGTCTGGGGGCCACCACTGAGCCCGGGGGGGGGGGCAACGTGTCAGCAGTGGAGCTGGAACCATCGCCCATGCCCACACCATGGCACCAGGGGTGGCGATGGCAATGGGGTGACACCCCCAGCACCCCCCAGCACCTGGTCCCAGTCTCACCACGTGGGGCGCAGGGTGCTGGGGAAGGGGACAGCACCTTTCCAAGGACGGGACCAGGTGCTGCTCTCCATGGCACCCAGCACGGGGAAGGGACCTCCACGGTGCTGAGCCCGCTCTGGTACCAGCCCCTCGGCTGGGAGAATGGGGTCCCCCCGTGCAGGACCCGTGTGCTGTACGTGGGTCTGGCTGAGGATGAAGGGGGTGCCACGGGGTGCTGTGGAGTGCCATAGGGACGACATGGGGTGCCACAAGGTGCCATAGGAGTGCCATGGGGTGCTGCAGCAGGCTCCCCCCCTCCCCCCCCCCTCCCCATGGCAGGGTGCTGAGGTGCTGAGTCAGCAGCTGCTGCTCTTGCACAAGGCTGCTGTGGTCAGCAGGATCCTTGGTGCCCCTTGGACCCGATGTCACCAGCCCTGGATGGGCCACCACGGGCCACTGCTACCACTATGGGCTATCACGGGCCACTGCTGCCACCATGGGCCGCTGCTGTCACCATGGGCCACCAACTTCATGTCCTCTCCGCTCCATGGTGTTGCTGTTGGCGATGGGATGGGAGCTCCCCATGGGGATGCTCCTTGGCCCCCACGGGTGTGCAGAGGCAGCTCAGCCACGCGTGACTCTGGAAGTGCTTTAGTGGAGATGCGGGGGGGGGCAGTGGGCGAGGGCCGGGGGTCCCCATCACCCGTAGCTGTGGGGGCTGTGGGGGTTCATGGGGGACGAGTCCTGGCGCCCCAACTGTCCCCGCAGCTGCCAGAGCCGGTGGCTCAGGTTCTGCACCTGGCACGTGCCCAGCACGCAGCCCACGCGCAGCAGCTGCGTGTGCCGCCGGCCACGCGTGTGCCGGTGCCCGTGCCGCGACGCGTGTGCCGGGGGGGGCCACGGCGCGGGCAGCCGGTGCCGGGCAGTGCCGGAAGCATGCGGCACCGCAGGGTCCACAAAGGGGGACAGCAGGGACGGGATCCGGTCCGGGGGCTCCCTGCAAGAGAGAGACAGCGTCAGTGCGGTGGGAGGGGGTGATGTGTGGTGGGAAGCTGCTCAGGGAAAGGGACCTGAGGACAGGGCTGGTCAATGGCTGGAGATGAGCAGCTTGTGCCCAGGCAGCCAGGAAGCCCCCAGCGTCCTGGCCTGTATCAGCACCAGTGCGGCAGCAGGGCCAGGGCAGGGATTGTGCCCCTGTGTTGGGCACTGGTGAGGCCGCACCTCGGATCCTGTGTTCAGCTCTGGGCCCCTCACTACAAGAGAGACATTGAGGTGCTGGAGAGGGGCCAGAGAAGGGCAGTGGAGCTGGTGCAGGGCCTGGAGCACAAGTGTGATGGGGAAGGGCTGAGGGACCTGGGGGGTTCAGTGTGGAGAAGGCTCAGGGGAGACCTGATGGCTCCCTACAAGTGCCTGAGAGGAGGATGGAGCCAGGAGGGGCTGGGCTCTGCTCCCAAGGAACAAGGGATGGGACAAGAGGAAACGGCCTCAAGCTGCACCAGGGCAGGTTTAGATGGAGCTGAGGAACAATTCCTGCCCCAGAGGGTGCTCAGGCATTGGAACAGGCTGCCCAGGGCAGGGCTGCAGTCACCGTCCCTGCAAGTGTTCACACCCCGTGGAGACGAGGCCTCAGTGCCATGGGGCAGTGGTGGCCTTGGCAGTGCTGGGAACGGTTGGACTGGATGAGCTTAAAGGGCTTTTCTCCCCCGGCTGATGCCATGATCTATGGTTCTATGGGCCCAGACCTCTTCCTTGCCCTGGGCCAGGAGCAGGACGAGAGGATGAGGAGCAGCACCGGGGCAGAGGAGCTGCCCCACGCACCAACACACGTCCATGCTCCGGTGTCACAGCAACTTGGCACGAGCTGCTCCTCCCTCCACACACCCGCACACACATGGCCAAGCACACACACACTGCGTGACCCCTGTACACATGCAGGCACACATGGTCCCCGCACACATGCACATCCCATGACCCCTGCACACACGCAGCACATGCGTGTCAGGGCCGGACGCCGCGTTCCATGGGGCCAGAGGCCACATTCCTTTGGCGCTGTGGCTCAGGAAGCTCCCGAGGCCATTCCCAGCTCCTGCTGCCCATTCCCGTTCTATTCCCGTCCTGTTCCCATTCTGGAAGCTCCAGCAGCCTCCCTGTGTCTTGGAGCCAAGCTCCAGTGCCAGCATCCCATGGGATCAGTGCCAGCATCCCATGGGATCAGTGCCAGCATCCCATGGGATCAGTGCCAGCATCCCATGGGATCGCCGCTGGCTGCGGGGTTCCCCTCCTGCCCCAGCACACGGGATCTGCCCTGGCACATGGGATTGCTTCTGCTCCCATTCCTGGGCCACATCCCAGCGCTTTATGGGTGTTACCGGGCGCACCGTGGGGCACCCCCCAACCCCGGGACCCCACAGCTCCCACATGTGCCTCCTGCCCCCTTCCCACTGCTGCTCGCAGCATTCCCATGGACTTGGCACCAGCACAGAGCTGGACTCACGGTCCCCACTGCTGGGGTCGCCACAACAGGATCCCCATGTCTCTCAGACTCCCATGTCCTCAGGACCCCAATGTCTCAGGTACCCCTTGTCTTGGGGACCCCCATCCCCAGCACACGGAGCTGTGGCCACACCATCCTGATCTCCCAGTCCATGCCCAGGATTTGGGGTGCCTGTGTTCCCCCCATCCATTCCCACTGTGGGATGGGTGTCCCGTGTCCCCCCCCCCAAGGTGCTGCAGCACTGGAATGGGTCCCCCTCAACCCACGCTCCCCCCCCTCCACCGCATTGGTCGGGCCGATCCCTGCGGATCTGGGCATGGAGCAGGCACATCCCAACCCCAGCCCGCTCCTCAAGCAGCAACACGCACCCGCGCGGCCGTGCACGCACACACGCACGCAGCCCCGGCACACGCGTGTACACGCATGTTCCTCCTGCGGCTGGAGCCCAGCCCCTCGCCTGGCACACGCCTGGCACACACACACATACACACACACACACGGGCCTCATCACCCCGCACACGCGTGTGCCCTGCGTGCCCTGTGCACACACAGTCTCAGGGACCCCCCTGGCCCATGCCCCCCCCCCCCCCCCACTCCTGTCACCCCCGTGTCCCCATAGGGACAGGCATGGGGCAGGCGGTGACGGCAGGTTGGGGTTCTGGGACCCCTCAGTGCCCACCTCTCTGGGGGTGATGGGCAGCGGAACACAGGCACGGGACACGCACACAATGGGCAGACTGGGACCTGCCCAAGCCCTGTGGCTGGCAGGACAGGCGGACATGGGCTGGGGCAGGAGCCGGGCTCCTGGGGATAGATAGGGGGGCACAGGAGCACCCCAGACAGGGGTCCCAGACGGGGGGGCACAGATTTGCCCCATGCAAAGGGCCCCAGCCCCTACCTGCATTAGGGGGAGGGCAGGGAGGGTGAGCGGGGGGTTACAGAGATGCCCCATACAGGGGGCGGGCAGGAGGGTGGGCAGGGGGGACACAGAGACACCCCAGGTGGGAGAGGGTGGACAGGGGCTAAAGAGATGCTCCACACAGGGGGCTCCTTGCTACACCTACCTGGGGTGGGCAGGCGGGGGGCTCAGAGCTGCCCCACGCTCATACTTGTGTATGGGGGACAGGCAGGGGTATGAGCAGGGGGGTCACAGAGCTGCCCCATACAGGGGATGGGCAGGGGGCACAGAGCCACTGCATGGAGAGGACTCCTTGCTACACCTGTGCGGGTGGGGGGCACAGAGACACCGCACACAGGGGAGTGCGGGCAGGGGAGGAGCGGGATGGGGGGTGCGGGCAGGGGGGTTTGGGAGGGGGGGTGCGGGATGAGGGGGTGCGGGTCGAGGGGTCCGGTCTCACCTGCGCCTGTGCGCTCGGCCGTGGGGCCGGGGCAGGCCGGCGGGCAGCTCCAGCACACACAGCACTAAGCTGATGCAACCCAGCGCCACCGGCACCGGGGCTCTCATGGCGGGGCCGGGCCGGCGGTGGCTCCGGGGCTGCAGAAAGGGGAGAGCGGTAAGCGGCTGGGCCCGGCTCCGGCAGCCCCCGTACCCCCCCGGTGCCTCCCGCTGGCCCCTGCTGCCGCCGGTTGCTCCCCGGTGCCTCCTGCTGTCTCGCTGGTGCTTCCCGATGTTTCCCGGTACCCCCCGCCCGTTGCCTCCCGGTGCCCTCCGGTCGCCTCCCTGTTGCCGCCGGCGCCGCCCGTCCCGTCCCGTCCCGCCCCGTGATGTCCCGTAGCCCGTGGGGCGATGCGGAGTCCCGGAGGGGTCCCGGGGGGGTCCCGTCGGTACCTGTGCGGGTCCCGGGGCTGGGGACCGGGGGCTCTGGGGGTTCCGAGGGGGCTCGGGTGGGTCCGGGGGCTCCCGGGTGCCGGTGTCCGGGGCCGTCGCTGGGGCCGCTGCTCCCCGGCCCAGGTTAAATATCGCCGGGCTCGGCGCGGCCACGGGCGAGGAGGAGCCGCCGGCGCGGGAGGAGCCACGGGCGGGGGCAGCCCCAGCGACCCGCACCGGAACCAGGCACCGGCACCGGCCCGGCAGGAATGGGATGGGACGGGACGTGGGGGGGGAACGGGATGGGATGGGGCTGGGATAGGATGGAAAGGGACCGGGACATGTCCTCGGCCGCTGGGATGGGACGGGACTGGGGGAGATGTCCTGGGAGGGACGAAGGGGATGGGGATGGGACGGGGCCGGGACATGTCCGGGGAAAGATGGGATACGGTCAGGACATATCCTGGGAAAGGGGAATGGGATGGGACTGGAGGAGCTGTTCTGGGAGGGGGAAATGGGATGGGATCGGACTGGGAAAGGCCCTGGGAGGTTGAATAGGATGGAACTGGAATGGGATAGGAGAGCTGTCCTGGGGGTCTGGGGCGGTATTGAACAGGACAGGGACATGTCCTGGGGGAGCTGGGATGTGTCTGGGACACGTCCTGGGGAGGACTGGGATGGGCTGGAGCATGTCCGGGGGCTTAAATGGGGGGGGGGGGGGGGGAAGATGGGATGGGATAGGGCTGGGGAGTGGTCGGGGAGGGGAAATGGGTTGGGATGAGGCCGGGACATGTCCTGGGAGAGCTGGGATGGAGCAGAGATGGGAGGAGGGACCCATCCGGGTGATGCCCGCGCTGCAAGGACGGGACGAGGCCCTCGCAGCACCGCAGGGTGCCCGAGCCGGGGCCCGCCCCCTCCGGGCTCCGCGCTCTCGGAATCGCCGGGATCTTCCGCTTGATCCCGACACAGAAGCTCCGGGCGCGGGCCGGGGTTTGGGGCAGCCCCTGATGGGGTGGGGGGGGGGGGGGCACAGACCCCCCTATGTGGGACGCGGGTTCTGGCTCTTCCGACCGCTTCCCAGAGGGAATTTCTGCGGCATTCCCGGTCCTTCCGTTTGGTTGTTGCTGGATTATTCCCAACGAGAGAGAGAAACCGGCACAAACCCAACGGGCTGAGCAGGAATAGGAGCAAGAACAGGAGCAGGAATGGTTGCAGGAGCAGGAAGAGGAGTAGGAGCACTGGGAGCTGCCATAGAACCATAGAATAGTTAGGGTTGGAAAGGACCTTAAGATCATCTAGTTCCAACCCCCTGCCATGGGCAGGGACACCTCACACTAAACCATGGCACCCAAGGCTCTGTCCAACTTGGCCTGGAACACCAACAAGGATGGAACATTCACAGCTTCCATGGGCAACCCATTCCAGTGCCTCACCACCCTCAAAGGAAAGAACTTCTTCCTTATATCTAACCTGAACTTCCCCTATTTAAGTTTTAACCCGTTCCCCCTTGTCCTATCACTACAGTCCCCAGTGAAGGGTGCCTCCCCAGCATCCCTATAGGCCCCCTTCAGATACTGGAAGGCTGCTAGGAGGTCTCCACGCAGTTTGTCTTCTCCAGGCTGAACAGCCCCAACTTCCTCAGCCTGTCTTCATACAGGAGGTGCTCCAGCCCCTGATCATCCCCGTGGCCTCCTCTGGACTTGTTCCAACAGTTCCATGTCCTTTTTATGTTGAGGACACCAGAACTGCACACAATGCTCCAGGTGAGGTCTCACAAGAGCAGAGCAGAGGGGCAGGATCACCTCCTTCGACCTGCTGGTCACGCTCCTCTTGATGCAGCCCAGGATACGGTTGGTTTCTGGCTGTGAGCGCACACTGAAGCCGGCTCATGTTCATTTTCTCATCCACCAACACCCCCAAGTCCTTCTCTGCAGGGCTGCTCTGAATCTCTTCTCTGCCCAACCTGTAGCTGTGCCTGGGATTGCTCCAACCCAGGTGTATGTGCCTTCACCCCCCAGGGTGTCCATCCCTGTGCCCATCGCTGTGTCCCTGCAGCACTCCCAGAGCTCTCCTGCCCTCTGTGGCACCAATGGGGACACTTGGGAACATCAGCTCCCAGCGCATGCAGCGGCTCTGCCCAAGGGCTCAGACCCAGCCGAGGGGGCGGTGCCGGGTGACCGGGGACGCCCCAGGACAGGCAGCTCTTGCACGTCTGCGGGTGCTGGATCCGTGTCCCTCCACAGGAACACGGTGGTGGAGCCGTTGGGGTACGCTCGGCACCGCGCCATGGGCACGGCAAACAGGAGGGAACGGCTGGGAGAGCGGAGGGACGCGCCCTCCGGCCCTGCAAGCACAGGGGGAGGAGAGGGGCACAGTGTCCCCAGTGTCCCCAGAAATCCCCCAGTTTCCAGCATCCCCAGTGTCCTCAGGCTTCCCAGTGTTCTCAGCATCCGCAGGGTCCCCAGTGTCCCCAAAGTCTGCAGCATTCCCAGTGTCTCCAGTATTCCCAGCATCCCCAGCATCTCCAGTATGCCCAGTGTCCCCAGCATCTGCAGTGTCCTCATGGTCCCCAGTGTCCCCAAAGTCTGCAGCATTCCCAGTGTCTCCAGTATTCCCAGCATCACCAGCATCTCCAGTATACCCAGTGTCCCCAGCATCTGCAGTGTCCTCATGGTCCCCAGTATCCCCAGGGTCTCCATTGTCAAGGATGGACCTGGAGCCCCAGGGATGCAGGGAGGAAGGGACACAGGGATTCAGGGAAACAGGCATGCAAAGACTCAGGAATGCAGGGATGTGGGGATAGAGGGACACAGGGGAGCAGGGATGCAGGGATACATGGACACAAGTACACAGCACTGGCACATGGGATTGGGGGACATGATGACACTGGGCACCCGCTGCCCCAGCACTGTGGGACCAGTGTCCCCACTGCAGCCACAGCCATGAACCGGTGACACTGGGAAACAGGCAAGGGGGGCCTATTGGAGCCCCCACCATGAACCAGTCTAGATCCTGGTTTACACGTCAGGGGCCGTGTCTGGTGACTTGAGGTGCTCCCTCCTCCACACCCCGCCCATGTCCCAGTCCCTTGTGGGAGTGTGAATGAGGAGTTCCTGCCATGAATCATTCCCGGCTCTGGCTGAGCCAACATGGAATGGGTGCTGAAGGGCGCCGGGCCTTCACCAGGACCAAGCATGGGCAGGCCATGGACCGTGGTGCTCTGGTGTGTGGTGCTGGATGAGGTGGGGCAAGGCAGAATGGGATGGTAAGGAGATGGGGATAGGGATGGGATTGGAATGGGGATAGGGATGAGGATGGGATAGGGATGGGATGGTGAGGGGATGGTGATAGGGTTGGAGATGGGAATAGTTATGGGATTGGGATGGGGATGGGGATGAGGATGGGATTGGGATGGGGATAGGGATGAGGATGGGATTGGGATGGGGATAGGGATGAGGATGGGATGGGAATGGGATGTGATGGGGACAGGGATGGGATGGGGTGATCACACTGCAAGCGATCTATGTGGGATTGACACCGTTTCCTCCTGGGGCCCCCAAACCCCACAGCATCCCCCCCCACCAGTGGGGTGCGTGAGACCCAGCCTCCCACGCGTGCCCCGGCACCCAACGGGACGGGGTCACCACTGCCCAGGGACCCGGTGCGTGCTCTCCCAGCGGGTGGGGGCCGTGTGTAACGGAGGGGGGGGGGGGGGGCACGAACAGCTTCGGGCTGAGCACCCGCACAAGCGGGTCCGTGCACGCGCCCGGCTGCGTGCACCGGGGGCTGTTCCCACGCGTGTCCGAGCGCACAGGGCCCGCCCCGCCCCCCACTGCCGCGGTCCTCGCTCACATCCCCCCCCGTGCTCACGGACCGGCTCCCCGCGCACCGCGGGGGTCCCGCGCACCGGCGCCGCCGTGGCCCCGCCCCTTCCCCTCTCTCCCAATCAGCAGCCTCGCCCCGCCCCTCCCCGCGGGGATGACGCATGCGCGGTGGATTGGCCGTGAGAGGGGGCCAAGATGGCGGCGGTCGGCGGGGCGCACGGGCGGGCGGGGCGCGGGGCGGTGGCGGCGGGGCCGTGACCCCCGGTGACCCCCCCCCCGGGTGACCCCGCGGTGACCCCCGCGGTGATCCCGCCATGGCCCGCCTGGCCGACTACTTCGTCCTCGTGGGATACGACCCCGGCAAGCGCGGTGAGCCCGGGGCCGGGATGGGGCTGGGGTACGGAGCACGGGCACCCACACCGGGCACGGGCCCGCTCGGCCCCGGGGCGCGACAACAGCCCGGGGTGCGCGCCGCGCTCCAGCGACGTGGCGGGGACTCCGGAGGGGGGAGCGCGGCCGGGACCGGCGGCGGCACCGAGGGGGATGGAGCCCCGCAGCGGCCGCTGCCCCAAGGCCTTTCCCGGGCGCGGTTCCGCAGGCACCGGGCAGGGCGCAGGCCGCGGCACCGGGCTCCCCCCGCCCCTGCGCCGGGAAGCGCCACACGGGTCCTGCAGGCCTCGGCCCTGCCGCGGAGCCGCGGTTCGTTGTGCGGGACCGGTTTTGGTTGGGTTTTGGGGCTGTGTCCGTGATGTTCCCCCCGGCCCCGCGGGTTGGGGCACAGCGGCGCCGAGAGAGGGGGAGAGACGTGAGAGAGGGGGAGTGCGCCTGGAGCAGGGGTATCCCGGTGGATTCCCACCGAGAGCATCCAGGCTGGAACCGCGGAGGGGTTTGTTTTGGAAGGGACCTTAAAGCTCCTCCAGCTCCAACCCCTGCCACGGGCAGGGACCGCTTCCACTAGAGCAGCTTGCTCCAAGCCCCTGTGTCCAACCTGGCCTTGAACACTGCCAGGGATGGGGCAGCCACAGCTTCTCTGGGCACCCTGTGCCAGCGCCTCAGCACCCTCACAGGGAAGAGCTTCTGCCTAAGAGCTCAGCTCAGTCTCCCCTCTGGCAGGTTAAAGCCATTCCCCTTGGCCTGTCCCTACAGGCCCTTGTCCCAAACCCCTCTCCACATTTCCTGCAGCCCCTTTAGGCACTGGAGCTGCTCTCAGGTCTCCCCTTCAGGAGCCTTCTCTTCTCCAGGCTGACCCAGCCCAGCTCTCTCAGCCTGGCTCCAGAGCAGAGCTGCTCCAGCCCTCGCAGCATCTCTGTGGCCTCCTCTGGCCTCGCTCCAGCAGCTCCACGTCCCTCTTGTGCTGCTGCCCCAGAGCTTGACTCGGTTCCCAACCTGCTCATTCACAGATGCTGGTGCCTGGGTGGTTCTGAGCCTGCGCTGGAGCCAGGGATGGGGAATCCTTCCACACCCACCCGTGGGTCGGTGATGACAGGAGTTGTGGCTGGGAGCTCAGTTCCCACCCAGAGCGGCTGCACCGTTGTGTGGGTGCAATTCCCAGCTCTGGGGGCTCTCCCATGGGGACAGGAGCTCTGGGAAGCACAGTGCAGCTCCTGTGAGGGCCCATAGCAGGCAGGCCAAGGCACAGGCAGCCAGCGCAGAGGTTTGGTGTACCCTGCGCTCTCTGGTCCCGTGGTAGGTGTGATGGTGTTACTGTTGCAGGTGTTTTCCCCTGTGTCACAGCATCCCACAGCAACGGGGTGGGAAGCAGCCGTGCTCCCAGTGCCCTCAGTCGGATCCAGCCTGGGATTGCTGCAGGACATGGGCTGCCTGAGGTTTGCTGGTCTCCACAAGGCAAACACTTCACCCGTGTTCCTTGTCCTGAGGCTCCTGGGGCTGAGTAGGGATCAGTCACTGCCCACATCCTCCTGATGCTGTCTAGGAGTGGTTTGAGGCAGAAGAATGTTGCTCCTAGGTGATGTGGTTCATTGAGTGGGACATGAGGAAAGGAAGAGCTGACCCTTAATGAATTGTGTTCTTCTGACTGAGTGTTCACTCTCTGACTTCAGATCTCACCTGTCACATACAGAACAGGGGCTGGGCTGGTGCTGGTCACAGACCTAGCAGGACATCAGCCTCAGCTGGGAACCCATATCCAGGCACTGGGAGTAGAAAACCACAGCACGTGTCTGGTGGTCCCTGTCCCAGTAAAGCTAGTGTGTGTGTGGGTCTGAACTGAGCTGAGCGCAGGCACTGGCTGAGAGGGGATCATGGAACCACGGGATGGTTTGTGTTGGAATGGACCTTAAAGCTCCTGAGCCCCTGCCACGGGCAGGGACTCCTTCTGCTAGAGCAGCTTGCTCATAGATCTCATCTAATGAGCCCTGTCGAAACCAGGGCTGTGGCTGGGGGTGTGAGCCCTTCCCCAGGCTGTTCTGGCTGAGCAGGGCTGCAGTGGGATCTGTGGGGCTTCCTATGGCCATGGATGGAGACATGGGCACAGCCTCGGGGGTTACTTGCAGCCAGAGGTGTCTGCCCATGGTCGAATCTGCTCTGGTACACCTTGGGTGGGTGCTTTGCTCATGCTGCCGGTACAGCAGGGAACTGGGCATCTCTGCCATGGGTGGCAGCAGAATACAGGCAGGAAAGCCTTGAGGTGGGGAGCGGTGTCCTGCGAACCGTGGGGAGCTCTGCTGCAGAGCCTGAGTCCCTGTGCTGCTGAGGGGACACTGTCATGGGGTGAGGAGCCCCAGATTGGGGCATCCCCTCCAGAGAACCATTAGTGCATATTCTGGGCAGTGACAGCTAAAGCCAGACCCTTTCCCATCCCCATGTGCAGGTGTCTGAGCTGTGTGAGGGGTGCTTTGGATCAAGATGTGTGTCAGAGTGATGCTCTGACACCTCCCGCCCTGATCTGCCTGCTGGGATGTGAACACTGTTACTGGTTATTGGTTTTGGGGATTTTTTTGGGTTGCATCTTGTGTTTACCCAACACAGGAGGGGCGTGGAGCTGTTGGAGCGAGGCCAGAGAAGGCCATGGAGATGCTGCGAGGGCTGGAGCAGCTCTGCTCTGGAGCCAGGCTGAGAGAGCTGGGCTGGGTCAGCCTGGACAAGAGAAGGCTCCTGAAGGAGAGACCTGAGAGCAGCTCCAGTGCCTGAAGGGGCTGCAGGAAAGCTGGAGAGGGGCTTGGGACAAGGGCCTGCAGGGACAGGCCAAGGGGAATGGCTTTAACCTGCCAGAGGGGAGACTGAGATGAGCTCTGAGGCAGAAGCTCTTCCCTGTGAGGGTGCTGAGGCGCTGGCCCAGGGTGCCCAGAGAAGCTGTGGCTGCCCCATCCCTGGCAGTGTTCAAGGGCAGGTTGGACACAGGGGCTTGGAGCAAGCTGCTCTAGTGGAAGGGGTCCCTGCCCGTGGCAGGGGTTGGAACTGGATGAGCTTTAAGCTCCTTCCCACCCAAACCACCCTGTGAGTCTATGTATATCTTGCTCTCTGCGCTCCTGCTGTCACATCTCCTCCCTGCTGCAGCTCAGATGGTATTTGCAGGAAGGACAGGCTGCTCCTCTGGCAGTGACTAACTGCTGTACAGGTTGGGTTGGTCCCATAGAGCTGTAGCTTGGGCACAGGCTGTGCTGTACTGTGCTGTGCTGGCTATAAACACACCAGGGCTGTGGGGGACCCACTTGACACTGGGGAGTTCAGCTGTATGAGGGCTGGATGGGACCCTCTGCAGCAGTGGGGAGGGGGCTCAGCTCTGCCCACAGCTGGATGTGTGCAGCAGCAGTGATGGGTTTGCATGTGGTGAGGCGCTGTGGAGTTCCTGTATCAGTAGGGTTAATGGCTCGAGAGGGATGGGATTGGAGCTGGGGATGGGGAGTGGGGAAGCTCTGCAAGGGGGTGGGATCTGAGGTAGCTCTGTGTTGTCTTCAGAGAGAGAATCATGGGATGGTTTGCATTGGAAGGGACCTTAAAGTTCCTCCAGCTCCAACCCCTGCCACGGGCAGGGACCCCTTCCACTAGAGCAGCTTGCTCCAAGCCCCTGTGTCCAACCTGGCCTTGAACACTGCCAGGGATGGGGCAGCCACAGCTTCTCTGGGCACCCTGTGCCAGCGCCTCAGCACCCTCACAGGGAAGAGCTTCTGCCTAAGAGCTCATCTCAGTCTCCCCTCTGGCAGGTTAAAGCCATTCCCCTTGGCCTGTCCCTACAGGCCCTTGTCCAAAGCTCCTCTCCATCTTTCCTGCAGCCCCTTTGTGCCCGGGAGCTGCTCTGAAGCCTTCTCTTCTCCAGGCTGAACTAGCCCAGCTTCCTCTGTGCCCTCAGAAGGTGTTAATGTTGCTTAGTGCAGTTTTGTGAATCCAAAACCGAAAGTAAAGGTGCTGCAGGATGTGACCGCGGTGTCCCTGTGTCCTGGTTGGTGTCACTGTGCCTGGATCAGCTCTTGCACCTACATCCACGCGTCTGATGAGAGGGGCTGCTCCTGGGTACATGTGTGGAGCTGAGTGTGCCCAGCAGTGGGTATTTCATAGGTGAGGGTTGGCTGTGTTGTGTGATGATTGCTCACATATTCTGTGTAAATGAATGGGTTCCATTTCTTGGCTCTCATCCTGCTGCATGCAAATGATGCTTTGCAAAGGTGGGGCCTGTGGCTGCTCTTTGCCTCCGCAGCCAAGGGTTTTTCTGTGTGTGTCCCCTGTGGCCTGAGAGTCCCTAACAGCTCAACCCCAAACACGTTCAGTGTGGATGGAGGGCTCATCTGGGAGGGGTTTATGGAGCAGGATGAGTCTCAGCCTCCTCCTGCGGGGAATTACAAACACAGAGAACTCAAACGTGGGGATTTGGAGACGTGCGATTCTGCTGCTCCCAGCACAAGAGGGACGTGGAGCTGCTGGAACGAGTCCAGAAGAGGCCACAGAGATGCTGCGAGGGCTGGAGCAGCTCTGCTCTGGAGCCAGGCTGAGAGAGCTGTGAGGGTTTGGGGCTGCTCTGGCTGCTCATGGACCTCAGCAGGGTGGCTGTGGCATTTCCCGTGTCCCGTTGCAGTTGTGCATCCTGGAGCATCCCGCGGCACTCCGCATCCTCTGCCCTCAGCTCTCCTTCAGAGCACAGTGCTGTTCCCGCGCCAGGACTGTGCTTTGGGCACGTGGGTTCTGCTCCTGAGCTCGGGTGGAGGTGGAGGCTGCTGCTCGGAGGAAGCCAGCTCCGTGCTCGGGTGTCTCATCCCGAGATGTGTGTGACGCAGGTTCTGTCCCCATGCTCCGCCTGGGAACACGGATCCAGCAGGATCCATCCTGTGCTCCCCGAGGTGCTCACAGCTCCTGCACCTCCATGGCTGGGGCCGGTGCTGGGTGAGGAGCTGTGCTAACCCCAGGCAGAGCAGAGC